TTTCTTTTTCATTGTTATTTGCCAAAGTCAAATGAAACATTTAATGTGCAATTGTATTGATAATATTTGATTATAACTATTAAGAATTAAAGATAATTATCAAATGAATGATCAAACGAAATTGATCGAAAAGTCGATTTACTAAAATCGTAGAACATTTTTCGACGTATCGTTCGAAGTTTCGATCGAAGGGGGTGTGCGACAACATCGGAGACCATATTTACCGAGCGATAAAACCATCCTCGACATAAAAACACGTTGTTAAATAATTCACCGGAGACATATTTACGTTGGTTCTATGCGAAAGGAGTATCGCGATACTGCAGGAAAAGTAACTTTTCCTTTTTACAATCTCTTTCTTTCAAGGCATCCTTTAGAACGTACTAAAGAATTAAATTCAAACGCGTTGTAGCGCGCGTAAAAGAGATGAAAGTAAAGTAAAGTAAAGTAAAGTAAAGTAAAGTAAAGTAAAGTAAAGGGCATCTTACATTAGAGGAAAAAATGCGATCGGAGGTGAGCTTTAATTGGCGGAAACAATCTTCTTCGCGTTCTACAGAGATCTTATAGATGTTTTGGTGGTTAAAGGCATCCTTACCGTTACAACTATGACCATTACGACGATGATGAAAACAATTACGCTTCACCAGGCGTGTTTTGCACAACTTCCAAAGTAATTACGATGCCGATCGAACCTATATCTTTCTTCTTTTTCTTTTTTTTTTCCTGTTTTTTCTTTTTGCAATTCGAATTTCCTCAAGAAACTATTTTTATCTAATCATAAGACAGTAGGACGCCTTTTAAATATAGTTTATGCAAATTCTATTACAAATTCGTTTTAATTGAAGCAAATGTTATGAAAGAGTTAGAAGAAAGTTTGGATGAATGAACTCTCGATACTGTTGATCGATTATCCAAATACAGTTTGAACGTTTTCAGTTATAAACTTGTTCCCAGAGAGGAATGAAATTTGAAATTTTCAAACGCAGTAGGGTCTAAACGCAGAAGGGTTCAATGACATCTATTTCCAGAGGTTATAATTCAGCTCGCCTTCTAGCCATTTCCCTGCGGAAAGTTCTCAAACTTAGATTAGCGATTCAATTTGGGTCGCTAGTAAATCATCCTTAAAATCGTTTTTTAATCGGGACAATGTGTAACGAACGAAAACGTCCGCTTTTCTCCGATCTCTCTTGGAGAAAAGAAGAAGCGTTACCTTTAGCAGTTTCTCTCTCTCTCCTCGACTTCCTTTCGACTTCCTTTCAACTTCCTCCAGTTACTTGTTCGACTCGATGCGTTTGTTCTCTTCCCTGCCTGCCACTCTCTGGCACTCGTTCAAACACCGACAAAAAGAATAATAGCCGCGGGACTGACTTAGCTATACTAACGATGCTTTTTCCTTAACGTCTTCCTTCCAAAACAACTCAACTAATTCCATCTCAATCCTAGTCTACACAAATTAACAAATACAAATATCTACCTAATAATGTAATGTAATAAATAAACCATTTGCGTTTCTATTAATTATCAATGCAACTGCAAGTAGTACTTTTTTTTCTTGCCAGTGATGGAAGAACTTTGATGGAACTTGCTTTCTACCACTTTTCTAGATTTTTCTTTTTCCTCCCCTTTTACGCGTTACGGTCTTTATGGAATAATTAATTAAGACAAGAACGTTCCAGAAATGGAGATCAAGAATAAGAAGAGAGAGAGAGAGAGAGAGAGAGAGAGAGATTCTTAATGGTACTATGCTTAGCGATGTTTTTCTCTTCAAATAATTCTAGCATTGTTTGATAAGTGTCTTTTACTTTGTAGTATTATCTGTCATTTTTTAACTTTGAATATTTTTAAATGAATATACACGCAGGTAGATAGGTAAATTTCCAATATATAATAATATACATATGTATGTATTTGACTGTATGAAACATAGATAATACGTGGACTGTGTAGGTTCTTTTACATATTCGAGAGATAACACGAATTATATTTTACCAATCACAAAAGCCATTATTTTTCCAAATCCATCCAACCGCGTGAACAATTATTTTTTCTTTTCTTCGGCATTAATTCTAGGTAAAAAAGAAAAAGAGAGATGCAACAAATTCCAACAATCCCTGACATTTGCCTTCTCTATCCGTAGGAATATCTGGCGTTTCATTTGCGAGTAAAAGTACATCGAGCTCGCATAAATTTAGTGAAAAGCGAACAGATATTTTGCGTATCGAGCTTTGCATACTGGAAGCATATTTGTCTCGTTATCAGGATATACCACCGTACCGTGATGAAGAAATAGAGAAAGAGGAAAAGAGAGGGACATTCGCGTGAAAAGTCAGCGGAACTAAATTGATGCACGAGCACTCAGCGTACTTTACCGTTTTTCAAACTTGGAAAAGTTGGAGTAATTTGCGATCGCACGTTTCTCTTCTTCTTCTTCTTCTTCTTCTTCTTCTTCTTCTTCTTCTTCTTCTTCTTCTTCTTCTGAAAGAGCTAAGGTAGAATATTTTTCCTCGAATGAAAGAAACGCGAGGATGACGACTGACGACGACGCCTGACGACGAAGAGAAAGGTCTAACAATAAGAATATGAAAAAGTCAGAGGTAGATGAAACGATAGAGACTCGAACAGAGAAAAACTTTTTTAGACCGCGAATTAATAATCGAATCCCTAACTTTTTGCGAAATTCCTTTCAACCCGTTAACACTTTCCTTCTGTCATTTTCCTTCTAATACTTGGAAAATACAAAGATCATGAAGATTATAGATAATTAAGATCCAATATAGAACGATGTAATCGGTGTAATCTTTATCGTCACTCGCTTTGTCATGCAATCGAATGAAACGAGCCGCAAGCAGAATGCAACTGGAATCAAAACGTTTCATTCGCAATTATCGAATGATTATCGAATAGATTGCAAATAGATTAATTATCAATAATATGAAGAATAGATAAAGTACTGTTTATAGGATAACGAAAGAAACATTTTCTATTTCAATTGGAAAATTCAACTGTCAAAGCAACATATCCAATGTATTTAGTTCTTTATATTTAATGTAATTTAGTTGATTAATTTAACGTTGATCTATTTGATAGAATTCATAATTATAATAATAATAATAATAATTTATATCCATATGGTTAACCAATGAGCAAGTATAATTGGAAAACAACTTAATAATTAAAATAATAACTGGGAGTATAATGTTTAATCAATTAATTAGTTACGAGATCGATGAGGAGTATCGCGAAAAAGGTTTTTCGGTGAGCGCGTATCACGCAAATGAACACCCTTAGGTAGGAGGGTTAGGTTAGGAAGGAGGAGAGCTAAGTAGAAGGGCTAGGTAGTAGAAGAGCTAGATAGATGGGCTAGGTAGGAGAGCTCGAGGCACTCTTGTGGTTCAGATGCCACTTAGGCACGACTCACGACCCACGACCGGTTGCACCTGTCTCGCCATCTAACTCGACGATGTACTTGCGTTACGCGTAACAGAGAGTTACACAAGCAGAGCTCTGACTTCAACATCGAATATCTTGACGTTCATTTCCTTTGATAATGATCCTTCATATTAACGAAGATCTTTCAAATGAAATTACCGATAGAAATCGACTACTCAACGAAATTAACTTTCCTACCGACTAATTACATTTATATATTAATATAATTAATAATCATCCGCGATTGTGCTTATTAATTTGTAATAATAAATGTTGCATTTTTGATCGAACGAATATTCGGTAATCGCATTTCCATTCTCTTGGCGATAAAATGGTAAAGAAAAAGGTAAAACGAAAATGAAAAATAAGAACAAAAACGTCAACGCGAAGAGCAAAGTTGGTAGAGTTACATTTACACCGTACACGATCTAGTTCCGAGCGGATCGAGCTATCGGTGCTTTTGTATTCCATAGTCTTTTGCAAAGGAACCCCCAATCAACCAGCCAACCAACCAACCAACCAACCAACCAACCAACCAACCAACCAACCAACCAACCAACCACCACCCAGCCGAATACTTTGACGCGAGCGCTTCTCCCCCCGTTGTGCCACCCGTTCTGCCACCCTCTCTGCACATCCGTTTCCGGTTTACATTTACCTTTCGATGTTTCATTGTCGAAACGCGAACGTGCATGCTGCGATACCGGGTGGGGATAAAAATGGTTTGTCCTAGATTCGAACCAAGGGAGAGTGCATTTTTTGGATGCTTCCGTGACCTCGCGAATGCTTTCGGGTGCCAAGTGTTTCGTTAAACTCATCTTCTACGAATTCCTCTTGTATTTCTTTTCTTTCATCGGAAGTAGACTCACGTTTATAAAATAATACGCTCTGCCAGATAATAAAAACCACAGGCAAGCAGGCAGGCAGGCAGGCAGGGAGCTTTCAAAGGGAGTACCAAATTTTATCTTTAGCAAATATTATTGTTCATTAGCAAAGGTACGAGAACTAAAATTGATGTTATAAACGATTAGGAGGGCTTCTTGTTAATAGGAAAAAAATAAAGGATAATGAAATCAGAGCCGAACTTTAATATGAAATAATAAAAGAGAGTATCGTAGTTTCGATTTTCTCAAAGAAATGGATAACGGGGAAGAACTGAGATGGTATTCTTTCTTCCGTAATCGTTCGCCGTTCGTATAGACGAAATAGGGAAGAAAAGAACGTTTCTTCGAGGATCAGTGAGCAGAGAAATGCGAGTGTTTATGCGGGTAGATGCACACAAAGATAACACAAAGAATCCTTCATTTCTATTCCTTTTATCGCAGTATTAAAAATGTCATTTTGAACAATTCTTTTCTTTTACGAAGACTACGAATCCAAATTTGAGTATGTTACACAACTAGAAAATAAACATTCCTATCTTTTTTTTTCAAAGATCTATCGAGAAATCGATGATCCATTATTTTTCCTTTCTGTTTTCTGTGAATGAAAGCACGTCGATAATGATTATATTTTAACGATAGGATCCTTGTCACAAAGAATACTATCCAAATGGAAATCTCTTGACTTACCCATAGCAGGAGCGTAGATGTTCAAATATAGACAGTCTTCGCTTTGGTTTCGCAAATGAGGTAGCAATCTTTTCAAATATTCCAGTCTTCCTCTAGGCATGCGCTCGAGAGCCTCTTGCTCGTTCGAGATGTCTGGAAGTTTTTGAGGACAAACCGGACCGACCGAGTTTGACAATCTGCAAAGAAATAACACACAAATATTCTCCATATAGAAAAGGAGAATATTTTTCTTCGAATAGTACAGAGGGCTACAAATTGTTGTCATTTATTATTTCGATCGTTCGATATAAAGATCATAAAAAACACGAGCAAGTGACAATGGGCCATCGTTAAATCTAATATAAAAAACAAACAAAAAAGGAAGAAAATAAATTTAGTAGCGATCGTAAGAGAGTACGTTCGATCTCGTGTTATAGATTCAGCGATATTGGCAAGGTGAAACTCAAGAGATATAAGTTGCTCCCTCGAGCAGTTAAATCTTTCGTTATTTCACGTCGTACATAAATTGTAAGTGTATCGTAAATAGAGACAGAAATTGTTGCAAGGAACTTTTTTTTTGTAGAATTATCAGGGTTACCATTACTGTACTTATAACTCCGGTAGTTTAGAATTTTCTTCAAAATCTTGTTGGAAATGAAATAATTGTTGGAGACAAATTGCAAGGAGAACAAACCTGATACCCTCCCAAGGGCTTGGCGCTCTTGTCGGGGAGAATCTGTTGCTCCCAACGGGTGGTGTAGCGTAGGGTATTCCAAGGTAGACGTCGATCGGTTTGAGGAACTTGGCGTTCTCGAAGGACCTGATCAAACCTCGAACCTCGCCGTATCGAGTTTGCACGACCCGCGGATTGATACTACTCTTGATCGAGAGCGAGTAGACGCTTGGCTCAAGGATCACGAGGCAACAAAGTAATAGCAGCGGAAGGAATTCCATCGCGAATCGAATGCGCGCGGTGTCCGCTGTCGATCACCGGCCCACCAAACGATTCCTCTTCATTTAGCCACCCTGCCAAAAACGACGATTACCTGCCAAAAACGATGCAAGGACCCATCCTCGTCCTTGCCACCTCTGAAAAAGAATCGAATTAATCATTTTGTTAATGTGTCCATTTTTCAACTACTAACAACCTTGCCTTTCCAATTTTGCGTGAGTTTATGCTTTATAGTACCGAAATAGAACGTGGATGCTTTGATAGAAGCCTCTAAGAGTATTCTCTATCTCTCTCTCTGTATGAAAATCACTAAACTTTGGATGCTTGGAACAACGGGCAATGAATATTTCGTGGAAACGTTAATTAAGCTGGCGAAGAAAATGATTATTAACAAGTTAGAGAGTATATTGGTCGTTATAAGAATTTATGAGCAACTTCCGACGATAACAAGCCGAGAAAATAACGCTTTAACAACGAGAGAATAGGAAAGATCTCGAATGACGTTGAAGGGCTAAAAAGAAAAGGGGGAAAAAAGAGATTTTTGTTGGTTCTACGATGCTATTAAATTGCGCATTTCGTCGTCGTATCTTTCCTCATAAATTCTCAGTAGCGTGGAATCTTGCTCGTTGGGGCAACGAATTAACGCGTTCATTACTCACCGAGGTAGGTACCTGTCTTATATCGTCCTACTGGACGTTTTCATATAGTTATACATAGATTGGTTATGCTAGTTATCGGTGAAAATTAATCAGTCTCTGACAAACTACATCTCTCGCATCGATTTATATTACCGTAGTAGCTAAGTCTCACAGTAAGCAATTGCTACAGAGATATTTATAGGGTGAGACATTTGCATATAAACAGAATCTTAGATGAATATACGTATGCAGATACCTATGCATATATGTATACAATTTTGAAAGTGTATCTTTCCATTCATTTTTCATGATTAACTTGTGAGAATTATCATTTGATGCTATTGTGTGTAGGAAATAGCACACATTGATACTAATTAATCGCGATAAGGTAATAGGTACTCATTAGAGAAGGCGATAAGACGAAGGGTAAAGTAGTGATCGATGAAGATAAGGGGGCAGGAAGAAATGTCGAGCAATGAAAGGGAGGAAGATAGAGAGGAGAATGTAACTGAGTGCACTCGTACGTGGAACCATTATGGAAATCAGTACTTATCGGCTCGGAAAGGAAGCTGAAAATTCAGCGTCGCGTAACAGGATCACGTCTTTCTCGTCGTCATTTGCGAGAAGAACGAATGCTACGAAGGATCTTACGAGTTCTCCAGAGAGAACGTGGATCAGCTATTTCGCACGTATTACTTTTCTCGATAATTTCTCTTCCTTATCGACGGAGGCTCATTTCTTTTCCTTATTTTTCATTCGATATATTTTCTTTCATCTTTCCTTATTTTCCATCGATTTTTAATATATTTCACATTATTACGTTACGTGACGAATCGCTAAATCAAATAATCAATGTTTATTCCATCTTAAAAAGAGATTTTTTTCTAACAACGCACAAGAGTTACTTTACCAATTTTCTATTTCTTTATTTTTATTATAGATGCGCGCGCGCGCGCGCGCGTGTGTGTGTGTGTGTGTGTGTGTGTGTGTGATCAAACTTTTTCATTTCCCACAATAGTTGAAGATGAATTTCTTCCGATAATTCGATATTTCAATAATCTTTATAATCGTTTTCATAGTCTTTCAAAGTTTAGCTCACCGTCTGGTGGATAAGGAAAAGATATTACTTAAGTTAAAGTTTGTTATTCCAAAACTTACCATTCGAGCCGATCATCGAGTTCAATTAACTGCTTCAGCTACTTCTATCGAAGATTTAGCAGCCGGTGGACTCTCGTAAGGCTGCGATTTTCACCGATCGCATTTTAGCTCTCGCACTTTTCTTCCGAACTGATCGAATTAAAATATCGTTTATCGATGATCGATTGGACCTTGTTAGAAATTTTTTCAGTCTAACACCTACACGAGTTTCCTTTTGATTCATATCACGTATCGCGAGATTAGTCTATTAGCAAATTTGAGATTGTTCACCTGTGTCAACGTTTTAACTTACTCATCTTTCTCGTTTCATTATTCGATGTTGAATATTAAATCACGCTCAAGTAATTCTTCGTAAGCTGAAAAATAACAAAATATTACAAGGTATTAATATTTAATTAAACTTTCATTATACACATATACTTACAATAAACGTAGCATTACGGAAAAAATAGGAAGAAATTTATGATCTAATAACTTGGATATTTCTGTAAGGGAAACTTATAAAAAATAAAAAAGGAGTCTAACGTTGTAAAATAGAATCTTAAATTTATTCAGAAGGACGGCGTACGTGACTATATCTCTGCGAGTGTTGCCCTTCTCGTCTGTTTTAAGCACTCATGTCTTATCTTATTTCTCCTCTCTTTTTTCATCCTGTCTGTCATTCTGTCTTCTTCTCATTTTTTCTATTTTTAAGCGAGTTAGATGCCTATACGCGTACAATATTTAATACTATTATAATTTTGCATTATTCGAATGAAACTCGTAATCCTTTAATTGGGGGTGAAATGTCCAATTTTTTCTAGCTATCATCTTAATTATCTACGAGTAGAATTTGCATGGAAATTGACGTTATGCAGATTTTTCGAGCTTGACTGCGACATGAAGATAAGAAATAATACAAATAAGCAGTACGAATGTTGAATAGAAACAAAAATATGTATTTATCATGTTAGATTGAATAAATCGTTTCTTAACTGTAGCACACGGTACTACGTTTGGAAAATATGAAGACGTGCACGTCGGCATGATTAAAATTTAACATAAATAGTTGGTATTTCTCTAAAGTAAAGCAACGTCGAATTTTCCGCTGCAGGAAATCCTTTCCAAGACAGTTTTAATTAGTTACAAAGTCGTATCTTACAACTTGTTTGTTAAATTGAATATCTTTAAAGAGGAAATTACAAGATCGGCATTTATTTAACATCACACGTTTATTTTCCTACATTATATGGGAAACAATTTAGCATAACGCACGATTAAAAGTGATAATATAAACTATTATCTCTCTATCTCTCTCACAAAAGTGTAAATTAAATCTCAATCTATCTAAACTCTCCCTGTCTACGTGAAGACCACAAAAATTACACAACGTCAAACTCATAATATAATTTATATGTGAATATTTCGTTGCAAGGAAAACTTCAAATAATTGTAACAATAGTAGGGGTATCACTTTTAACATAATGTATCGACGTAAGAGGAATTCAAGATAAATCCGATAACCGTGAAATTAATTACTAAGCACAGGAATTAACGTCAAATCGAATAAGCTATTTCCATAACAGCAAAATAACGTGGTACGTAGGTAGGTTCGGTAAAGAAACTTCAGCCGATGAACAGGAACGAAGGAAGATCATTAAGGGAGAGAGAGTAGGTAGAGAACAATTATGTGGTTTATTCGCTCTCATTAAACTCTTATTAGTAGGACCTCTTAGAGAAGAGAGAGAGAGAGAGAGAGAGAGAGAGAGGTGGAGGATTGCTCGAAAACACGCGTAACATTCGCGAAAACTCATTCGAAATTGATCGAGAGATAACACAAACGAAGGGATTATCATTGCTAAGAGACGGCAAACGTAATTAGCTCCATTCGAATGTAATTACTAGCCGAAGGCGTACCGAGATTCGCGAAGCTTTAGCTGTCATAATCGCCGAGCGAGTCGATACATTGGCTCGACGATGTGGGGGAGTAGTAAGACGGTAACCTCGCCAGAGCTCAACTTTTCCAATTAAATTAGTAAGGTTATGGTTGGTAAGACTTAACCGCAAAAATAAATAATCGAAGTAAACTTTTCTTACGATAAAACGACTTGAATGATTGATAGTCAGGTCTCTTGTCTATTTATTACAAATGCAAGATAGATTTGCACTAGTTAAAATGACAATATTTAGAACGGCGAGATGTGTGTGTGTGTGTGTGTGTGTGAGATTGAAAGGAGAGAAATTATTTGGACGTTTAAACGTATGGCCTTAGATAACTCCGTTTTACCAAGGAACACCTAGTTTTTTTTCTCTCTTCTCATCAAGGCTCCTCCTTTCCCACCCTTCTCCTCGTTTTTTTTTCAATCTTTTTCAGCTACGAACCATCATGGAAAAGCGTACAATCGATTCCTCTGTGCGCTTACACGATCCGCGAAAAACACTTTACGATCAGTGCTCTTTAAGCTTTTAAACGCACGACCGAGACGATGTCAGCGACGATAAGCGACGCGATTTATCATCGGGCTAGCAATGCTGAGAAAAATCCGTGTCAGCCGTTCTTTCAAAACTGCGGCCATCCCAGCTACGACCATCCACTACTACCTACTACGATTCAATACCTTTTCAACGAATTTCCTATTTTCAAAATAACAAACTGTTTTCCCCGAATTTTAACGAACCCATTTCTTTTTTTTTCTACCCTTTCTTCGAAATGATACTACACGCATGCATATACGCGATTCTTTTCTTCTCTTATTTATTACATTTCGTGTTTTACATATCCACTATAAATTATTCCTATAAAAAAAAAAGGAAAAAAAAAACATTCTTGTTTCGAATAACAAATGACTACGAATAAAGTTAAAGAAGAATTTGTAGAATTGATATAATATAATAAATTAGCATAAAATAGTGATCATTTGAAAGAACTATAAGAGACCTTCCTTAACAAGGAATAAATCTACGCTTACTGAGAACTCATAATATACTAAATAGTGAAACAATAAAATGAGGGCTGAAATTCGTTCATTTTAGTGAGCTATAAAATGGCGGAGGATATATGTACGCGCACGCAACTCTTGCTATAAACCATAACTTGCTTAAAACTCGATTAGCATGTAACTCAATAAATGAACGAAGCGTAAACTCCTAAGTACCTCGGGGAGCCTCCAAATCCGTGTAACTCGCGAACACAAGCGTCAATATAATAATCCTGATCGATAATGAATATCAGCGGAACGATTAAGCTAAGGTATGACGAGTGATATAGCCGGTGATTATAGTAACTTAAGCTGACGATTTAACACTACTATATTGTACTTAGATATACTTAGATATTTTTGTTCCACGAAAATAATAAATCTAACCGTGAAAATTGCTTTCGAGCTTCTTCATATTTGTCCATGCACGCGGAATTTGTGCACTGTTTCGACGGACCGGCTGCCTTTAATCAGCCTAGTAATATGTATATTAGTGTGAGCTCGGGCTCTTGTAAATGCAATTAAACAACAGTGTGCCGTCGTGTAAAAGTGTGAACTCTGAAAACACGAAAGACAGAAACGATGGTGCCTGCGCCAACTCTCGCAACTCTTCTTCTTCTGCATCTTCTCTTCCCGGTTGGTATAACATACCACCCGAACCGTGCCAAATTAAAACGTAGCTGCAAATTACTTTGCGTGCTTTCGCGTAATTTCATACTTCCGTGTGTGTATAGTATATTATTATTATTATTATTATTATTATTATTAATATTATTATCTTTTACATTATCCGTTTTGCACATCAGATGTTCCATGTTCCTATTTTACGAAACGTAAATGAAATTAGCTTTTAAATTGCTTCGAGATTTAATTGATCTCTCGAATATCTCTTGTCTATTAGATCTACCAAATCTATCTAATTTTCATCTATTTTATGAAAGGATTTTGATCTAAACGAATATAAGCATAATAGGGAAGGAAATATGCAAGTAGCTACTACAATCTTTCAATATAGATATAATATCAATGTAGATATATTGGCGTAGTTCCATATCGCGGGCGTTTTTAATCATTCGATACATCAAACTTGAGCACAGGCCCTCGAGACATCTCGCGTGCTCCTGTTAACGTGGACTATTATTACGATCTGAAGTAGACATAGTGACTCTGGTCTACCGCAAGCGAAATATCGTTGCACCAGGGAAAAGCTATTCTAGTCATTGTTGACTTTTAACCGTTGAATTCATACGAACTGGGAATATTTGCTACCTCGAAAACGGTTAATTACACATAAGGTCAAATTACTGAAAACGCATTCGCAAATCTTTACCCGTTCAATTCTTTTTTCTTTCCCAATCTGATAAAATCAAACTGTAACTCGATACAGAATACTACAAAATCTTTCTTTCGCTAATATTATTACCCGTCAATTCGTCGTCACTGCGATGACTTTTTCGCTAGGAATTAATTATTTGACTTCTTCCGACAGTCGCTTCGTTATTCGTAATTAGTAACTAAGAGGATTCTGACGTTGGAAAGATCGCTGAAAATCGTAGCGGATGCCGGAAGCATAAATCGTCCTCTTTTACGTTTCTCTGCACAGTGTCTTCCTATTTTTTCTCTCTCTCTCTCTCTCTCTCTCTCTCTCTGCTCGCCTACAAGCGGTCTTGGCTCAGCTTTTAATTAAGTTAATTAGATTAATTAATAGATTCGAGCTAACACGATGGGCAGGTTGTTATACGTAAGCGTCACTTTATTACGATATGATAGTTCAACGATTTGTCGAAATTTTTATCGACGTTCTTTGTGCACATAGTTAATTTAAATAATCTGATCAAATGAATACACTTATATTAAAAACGTGAGCTTTAAATTTATATTGAACCAACGAACGAGAAATGTATTATAATTGAACGTTTGTTTAAAAAAATAATTTGATCTTTAAGTATCTTGTCTTTAATCTTTTGATTCCTTATTGAAAACTTTTCAATATTTCATCGGTTAAATGTACAGGTAAACTCATTTTCAAACTTTTGATCAGCAACGTATTTACGTATTACCATACTTCTACTTATCTTTTACACGTATCACTTTAAAATTGTATAACGGCAAAGTCACTTCTCTACTCCGAAAGTAACAAGAAACTTGGCTAAGTATTACAGTAAAATCCTTTTGTTCATTTTCTTAGGTTTGCACCATCATAAAGACCATCGTAACTATTGCCTAAAAAGCTCATGCACAAAAACGTTACGTTGCAAATGAAACAACATCAAAATAAAATATAAAAGAAGCACATGTAACAAATTTGGGTTTCGTAGGTGCAGTCAAAAACCGGGAGAGAGAGTAAGAGAGAAATACGCCAACTAACATTGTCTTTACCAGAAATACGTGGAATTTTA